AAAAACTCGAAGTTCCTTGTCTTCCGTGACGCTCAATGGACGCAGTCGCTTGACAATCCAATCAATAAAGGCTCTCGTTTATTCTTCTGCTGGGTCGATCCGCTTTGTTCGTTTGGTAGGGGAGAAAATCACTGCACCAGATGTCCGCTTACTTGTACCAGCAAGCGCGTTATTAACCCTTCTTGCAACCTCCTCTCGCCCTATACGGACAAGCTCTACTGGGTAATTTTGGTTCATGTGCTTTCGGACGCTAGCACTACTGCCAGCTCTAAACTTAAACGTGATTCTACATTGTAGGCAATATGCCAATTCTGCATCCGATGATGCCCACTTTGCTTTCCCAGCGGGCAACTGAGCACTTGGAGCCACGAGCATTATAAACGTTCAGTTCTCTTCCTTGTGCACGCGAGGCATCTTGAAAAGAGGAAGGGAAGGTGACGGAGAAGGCGGGGTTGACGGTGTGTTATCTTCCATGGTGGTACACCCAGCAACACAGCGTACGGATAACACTTGACGACAAATTGAAGTCGTGTTCGCCAGCGCTGTAACGTAGAAATTCTCTCATAGTAGGATGTCTTGACAGTATGTCTTGACAGTATGCTCTCGAGTCCTAGATCAGATGCGATCGACGCTGCTGAGGGGATGAGATTGGCCCAGGACGGTGGACTCGACGAAAGCACTGTTCACAATGTCGTCCAGGCTGCTGAAATTGAGTACTGAAGTCAGAAGGAGGACTCGTACGCAATACTTCTAGTGCCGGCATCAAATACTCGCGCTCGTGTCCGCCAGCCGCTGGCTTTTGTTTTTATCAAAACGAAGGGATTTGTTTAAATCACATGTTGACGTCTTGTTAACGTTAACTTCACGTAAGGGGTATATTTGACTCGACCTGTTTACGTTTGTTTACGTCCCCATCACTAGATACGGTGAACCCTTTGAGCTCGGATGGGTTCGCGAAAATAATCAACAGGGAATCACTCGCTTGGTGCGGTGCTCCAGTGATGTCCGATTAGTTGAAGACAATCCATCGGCAATCACGCGAAAATCTTCGATGTTTCTTGTGCTGGCAACGAGTAAGCGCTGTCATTTAAACCGCTCCTTGCAATTGAAAGTGCTGAGCGAAGCTCTCCCTGCTTCGTTTCCACAGAGCAATTCAGCAACAGACAGGACAATTGCTGATAAGCGGTGGACACGGTAGTCTTGGTCTTGCTCGTGATCATATAGTTCTTTCGGACGTCCGTATCAGCCCTTATTTTCACGCCCCCGATGTTTTGGATTTTTATTCACTTGTTTTAGATATAGCAACGACATACCGTAACGTGTCGCGATATGCAGGCCAGCTGGTGATTCGTGTTCAATCAGAAGTCACTTCAAAGATGCCGCTCTGCGTGGACGGCCATCTTGACGTGGTTTCCGAATTTTGTGCAAAGGCTCCGTTGGACCAGCTTGCTCGACAGCATCACAAGCGTCTTGAACATCTTTACTACCATAGAGTTCATCATCCAAAAGCCGGCGCCGAGTTCTACCGTGCTCGACTTATGTTGGTGCCGGCATAGCTGCCCATAACGCCATATTGTTCAACTGTTCATGATCGTCATCACGTCCTACAAGTATGATACTACTTACACCGTGGCTGCCACTAGGTAGTTGAATGAGCTTCCTAGAAGCACCTCCACGTCGACGACGAAGTTTTATCTCTACAGGAATACCATCACGGTCACAACAACACCGAGAACAACGTTTCCATTCGAAACAACGAGCTACTTCACAGCTGCAAAGTATATTTGGCAGTAAAAACACCGGGGTGGCGTGGTCGCATAGATAACTCGCCCTAGCAAAGCTCGATCCGGTTCCTCTGAGGTATGCCACGTTGAGTAAGCTGCAAGTCTGTCGAGCTCGTGTTCCCCCAGTTCTCTTTCCGACTTTTAAGTCACCATTTTGTGGTCCACACAACGTTTCCTGGATCATATCACCCATACCGGTATCCTGTTCCTGTCGTACAGTACCGTTGCCCTAAAAAAATTCATAAAAAGACACAACCACGCAGGTTTTTTCCTATCTAAACTTACGCACTCTTACTTCTGGCGATCAAGATCCAATTTTAAGCACAAATTTTGAATTTTAACATATCGGATCGATGTTGACATGTGTACCAAATTTCATAGCAGTAGCAGCTGTCCCCACCTGCGGCTTCTAACGGGCTTTGCGTGCAAAAATGAAAGTATCCAATTTAATCGGGACGGAGTAAGCTGTTTTATGAGGTTTTGGACGTCGGAATTTGAGCATCTCGAAGCCCTCCGACCAAAACCACCTAGCCGACCTTAAAGGTTTGATAAAAGCAAGCACGCTTTGACACGAAAGGGGGTACCTGTTATGGAGGTAATGAAAGAATATCGTGTCTATTCGGACATCAGCTTTACGACATTTAAACTTTGTATTAGTAGTCAGCCAATAGGATATGTTTATAATTTGATTGTACCCAATCAAATCCATAAAAAAATCAATGTTTCAAACTCGGACAATACGGACATATTGTGTCCGAATATATTGTGAATATTTAATATTCTTCAGTAACTTCAAATCAAATGAATATCATTAAAATATCGTAAATATTCGGACAATTATTATATATGTCAGGGTGTCACTGTGAGCCGCTTCAACCCCATCGATGTCGACGAAGGCTCTGATTCCTGGAAACTCCCAGCGAGCCCGCTTGACGGCGCTGAATGCGGTTGAACGCTTTGCGGCGTCTGAGAACATGACCATGGAGACTATGTACAAGCTGATTAATGACGATTCTACAGGAGAAGTACTCGACCTTGTGTTGTACAAGTTTGGCGTCTTTCATGTTTTTAAAGAAAACTCGAAGGGGTCGTTGTTGTCTAAAAACTCCGTGGTCAGCTACTTTGGGAACGTAAAAACCATCTTATAGAGCTTTACCCAGCTGTTGGGGCTGTGTCAGGTCGTTGTTTGCAGAAAATAGCTTCTGTACTGGACAAGTATTGCTCGAAGGGGAGTACTGAATTTACCCATCTAACGCCTCCGTGCACCAAGAAAGACCTACGTCTTTTGACTACTGCAATATTGAGTGAGGCTACCCATGATAACGACTACAAGGACGCTGCACTTATGAATTTACTTTGGTATCTCCTGGGCCGGTCTTCAGATACGATGTCTTTACTCAAAAGTCAAATAGCAGCTTACCCTGGTAGGTGCTACCTCATAATTTGTTTTTACCATTGATATTTTGCTAATTTTATTTAATTTAGCAGGAGGATGTATCTACATCAATTTTAAGCGAATGAAGTCTGCTAGCTGTCAAGGTGCTTCACTTTTTCACGACCGTGCAAACTTTGCATCTTGCCCTATTCACACAGTTGCCGTGGCCACAATAATGCAATCTACTCCAAGCGAATATTTGCTTGACCACCTCCCTCGCGAACCGGAAGACATCCATCAAATCCACCTGGGTGAGACGTCTCTAAGTGAGCTGCTCGAAGCGAAGGTTGCCTCTGGAAGAGAAGGAGATGCTGAAGACCCAGCTTGAGCAGCACCGTTAGACAGTTCCAGGAATTCACGCGTACGTTAACCGATTGCTTCGAAAGTAGAGTGCTTTTTGCACAAAAGATGGAGCCGCTTTGACGAAAAAGGCCTCGATGATATAGTCGTCCGTCGGGTTCGTCTACTTCAAGGTCTCCTCTTTGGAACTGCTCAAGAATTCTCAGATACGCTCCGCTTACGCGATGACGTGGTGGAAGTTTTCATGGCGGTTATCATCTTGCATTATCACGACATGGTTAAAATGGCTCCAAGTTCCCCTTATATTGCACGGGTACGACAAGCATTAGGTAAGCTCCATATCACAGAAAGCGAGGTGGCCTCATGGCGTCTTACCATTCACAAGACCCTTATGCGTACACAACAAGGAGATTCTCAACAAGCGGGTCGCGGCCAGACCGCTGAGACGAGAACTGACGAGCTACTTCGCAAGCAAACCACACTGCTTGAGCAGCAAACAAAAATTGTGGACGGCTTACTGAAGCAAGCCCGCCTGCCCAGCGACCGCGTACAGAAGCTTGAAGGTTCATCTTGTGGTCCGGCAACACCGCTTCCTGTACCACCGCTTCAACCTGGTGCCAGCGAAGTCAATCGACCAGCAGCGGCGAGCCTTGCTGCTGGTCGAAAGAAATTAGGACCCAAGTCGCTAACGGCAGTGTGGTTCGAGTGGTTCTGCAAGTTGGAACCCTATGCACATGAAGACCGTAGACGTTACCATGAGACGAAAGTTACGGTTGCATTTATGCGTTTGCTCTTACCGAATGGGTATGACGTCACTGGGAACTGCGCTGTCGACAAAGAACGAATTCTGGAGACTGGTCGTGAAGCTGAAGCGAATATCCGAGTCCTGCTAGATCCACATCACAAGAAGGCGAAATCGTACGGGACTGTGATTAGAGTTCTAAAAGCGATGCACGAGGCGGGCAAGCTAAACGGCCAAATTCAGAATTACCACGCGCTAGTCCGCGAAGGACGCGTCACCGATGACTCGCCTCCAAAGTCCTTTTACAAGCTTTCACTCTGCAGCATACAAGATTCAACATGAGGCTACATCTACCAGTCGCCAGCATTTCGAGTCATCGCACCGTGTACTGCATCGAGTTGACGACGGCCTTGTGCCAACAACTTGCGGGTCATGATCTGCGTGAAACCACAAACATGTTGTAAATACACTTTTTCCCTCAATACTACACACACTTTACTGGTACCTGGAATTTGTGCTTGTTTGGTCACAACTACCACAATACGAGACCAGTGTTTAAGCCTGCCACAGCGGGAAATGCATCTCACTGGGACGCTGTTGTGATCACCGACCCAACCGACCATTACCTCCCCTGCCACGGGCTCCACACGGGGCCACTAGGCACCACATCAGCTCCACACAGCATACAATGACGGCGAGGTCCATTACCTCCTCCTCTATTAACCCCACACTGCATGTAATGGCGGCGAGTGTCACCACCTCTCCGCCACCAGCTCCACACTGCATCACACTGCACGTAAGGTCGGCGAGGGCCATCACCTCCCCCGCCTTCAGCTCCACATTGCATCACACTGCACGTAAAGGTGGCGAGGGCCATCACCTCCCTGCCACCAGCTCCACACTGCATCACACTGCACGTAAGGTCGGCGAGGGCCATCACCTCCCCCGCCTTCAGCTCCACATTGCATCACACTGCACGTAAAGGTGGCGAGGGCCATCACCTCCCTGCCACCAGCTCCACACTGCATCACACTGCACGTAAGGGCGGCGAAGGCCATCACCTCCCCCGCCATCAGCTCCACAAGCGTCTTGTCGCAGGATCTCACGCACCGCAGATTTAATATGCCGCACTTCACTTCACGAACCCCTCACGCCATATCCAGAACGGCTTCCTCGCTGATGGCAAGTTATGCTGTATGACACACTTGTTCTAAAAAAATATTAAAATTCTTTCAGAGGTTGTCCGATTGTCCGATCAACTTTCTTTTTGTCCGAACAGAAACGGTATGGATGAATATACACGTCTTTCCGACAGACACAAAGGCAAGATTGTGAATATGTGATTAATATCCAATCATATACTACAATCTACCTTAATTCAGCCAATTAAGCCGCACACGAGCAGGTTCTTCATTCCGACACTTTCTGACAAATATTTGTCGGAAGCTAGAGCTAACTATTTTAAAACCAATACTGAATTTAAGTCGTGTAAGATATATGTCAATATTTTTGTGGTTCCGACAATGCGGTATACCTCCTACTTTAGGTTAAAATTGAGCAGTAGTGCTAAGATACACTCAACCAGTCAAGTCCAGTTAACAAAAAGCAGAAAAGACAAGCAGCAACCAGCATGAGCCTCTCCGCACTTATCCCTACAAACACGCAAAAAGCCCGTACTACCGGAATCGGCGCGTTCGAGCGTATGCTTAAAGTCGAGGATGTAACCATGGACGTTGTTCGAGCATGCATTTTCAGTGACAGCTCTGGAAAGAGCTTAGCGGCCGTGATGGATCGTTTTGGCTACTATCTCGCCACATGCGAAGGTAAGTTGGCGCCCAACACCGCCATTTCTTACTTTAGAAACGTGAAGCTTTGGTTTTTCGATGAGTATCCTCATCTTAGAGTACCAACCGAGTTAATTTTGCTTAAACTAGGAAATACTCTCGAAAAACACTGCTTAAAACGTGATAATGAAGGATTTACTAACAAGGCGCCACCTTGTACAAAGGCGGATTTGCGCTCACTAATTTGCTATGTGTACAAAACAGCATCCGTCGCCTCGGATTACGAAGATGCAGCGCTTGCGTGCCTTATGTGGCATTTCTTCGGCCGTCCATCGGATCTCGGCTACGTCACAAAGCAGCACATTACAATGTCAGCTGACAATGTTTTCTACATTCGGATGCTACGAATGAAAACAGCTGAGGAGCAAGGCCTCACGCTCGTACCTGATCGGGCGGATTTTGTGACATGCCCGCTGCACACGCTCGCAGTAGCCTTGGTGATGCAGGAGTCGCCTTGTGTGTCCCTGCTAAGCCAGCTTCCTTCTCTTGTGACACCGATTGCACCCTCACTTGATGCAGCAGCACCCCTTCTCAATGTACTACGAGTACCTTCGGTCAATGCTGCCACCTCTTCGCAGCTTCTTGCAGCAGGGATGACTGACCCGGCGGCTGCCACTCTGCGAAGCGTCCTGAGCTCCGCTGCAGCCAACCCTTCAGCGACCAACCAAGCTCGCGGTGACGACGGGGTTCAAGCGTATGTGAACCGGTTCCTGAAGGGTGTCGGAGCCGGCAGGAGCCTCAGCCAACTTGACCTCGCAATCCTTCAGGCGGGGCGGGGCGCAGCATGCAAACGGGGACGAGCGGCTGCCTGCACAGTGGATCTTTGATCGTGGGTCATGGGACATGACGCGCACCAACAAAGGATTCGCCTACGTATTCAACACGCCACGCGAGGACCGTAAAGTAGCACTGGTCTTGAGCGGGTGGGCTGCGGACGAGGCACCGATGATTCTTGATGTTGCCATTCTCGACCATGGGGCACAGGAGCGCATGACCCGGTTGCAGGAGTTGCTGTTCGCTTCCTGTGTAGGGCTGAAGAACAACTAGCTAAACGTGAGTCGCAAGGTAATTGGGGTCCTTACCGCCTATCTAATTAGGCATTTCTCGGAAGTGAAGACTCTCGAACCCAGGAGCTTGTTCGTTGTTCTAGTGGAAGAATGCTTGGAAGCAGCTGACATCTCCCACACCGACTTGCTGGCGTGGTCGGTCGCGCTGAGCCGTGTCGCCTCCAAACCTGCTCAACAAAGGAAGGACACTGAAAAGAACGGCTGCAATCGAACGGAGTGTTATCACGCTGCTGTCATTAATGAGCTTATCGAAAGCAATAGGCTGTTGTCTGCACGCCTGCTGGTGCTAGAGGCTGCCATCCTTAAGCGACCTGCGCACGAAGAGCCAGCCCAAACTACAGAACAGGAGCCAGTTTCGTCAGCTCAAACACCTGAAGCGAAACGCAGAAAGAAAGCAACTACCAACCTGTCATCGATCTGGTTCGAGTGGTACACACGGCAGCCTCGCGTATGGAGCTTTAACGACCGACAAAAGAAGTCAGATTACCGCTTGATCGTCGCGTACATGAAGCTTTTTCTGGAGGGCGGGTTCTAGCTTCACGAGAGATCAGAGGACTACAAGGATCGCGCTCTCGAGGTCGGCCAACGTGCAGAATCGGCGGTCCTCGGCTTCCTGAGTGGACAAGGGATCCGAGCAAAGGGCAGCGGTAGCGTACTGCGTGAGATGCGCAAACTTCATCGCTTAGGAGCCCTCGACGGCCGTATCATGACGTACCGTACACACCTCACCTCAAACAAAATTGCTGATCCTGCACCTACATCAACCCAAGACATACTTCAATTCGTAGGACATGTGTAAGAGAAGTGAGTAGATGTTAATGAATTGCAACGCTTCGCAAACATCATAAGCCGACAGCAGGGAATTGGACCCCCCACTCATTACCATCCGAGCGCTGCACCAGCAGTGCTGGCGGGATTTGTGTGCGCAATGGCATACTGTGCTCTGGACTGGTCCTTTGCTACGCGAGATCTGCTGGGGTGGCTCTGGAAAAAGAAGGCTGAGACCACAAGGCCCCTGTCGGTAATTTGTGGCGCTGCATGATTGGCTAAGTAAAATATCTAGGCAAGGTTTAATAAGTGACGTTGTTTTATTGGCTGAGCAAAAAACCTGAATGAGGTTAATCAAAATGACTGACCTACGACAATGATGACACTATTTTTGGCTTTAGTGTCATTGTTTTAAAGTAACCTCTGATAGTGGCCCCTCACCCTGGCTTCGGGTCTCATTCATGAATTTGCTGGCTGGTGAGCACAGTGCTGTGAAGCCTATAATGCTCTTAAACAAAAAAAAGATTTGTCTCGGCCTACAGGCCTCTTTAGAGCTTCCTTGCGCCTTCGAACTCCCTTTCCAAAGCTGACTGGGATGGTCGTACTTATAAAAGCGACCGTACTTAGTGTAAGCGTACTTAATCTGAGTACACCGTCATGATCTGATTGGCGGTTCCGAACTGTCGAAAACATGTCGGAAAGGGGTAGGGTGTCGGAACGTTTACGATATGGATGAATATACACGTCTTTCCGACAGACACAAAGGCAAGATTGTGAATATGTGATTAATATCGAATCATATACTACAATCTACCTTAATTCAGCCAATTAAGCCGCACACGAGCAGGTTCTTCATTCCGACACTTTCTGACAAATATTTGTCGGAAGCTAGAGCTAACTATTTTAAAACCAATACTGAATTTAAGTCGTGTAAGATATATGTCAATATTTTTGTGGTTCCGACAATGCGGTATACCTCCTACTTTAGGTTAAAATTGAGCAGTAGTGCTAAGATACACTCAACCAGTCAAGTCCAGTTAACAAAAAGCAGAAAAGACAAGCAGCAACCAGCATGAGCCTCTCCGCACTTATCCCTACAAACACGCAAAAAGCCCGTACTACCGGAATCGGCGCGTTCGAGCGTATGCTTAAAGTCGAGGATGTAACCATGGACGTTGTTCGAGCATGCATTTTCAGTGACAGCTCTGGAAAGAGCTTAGCGGCCGTGATGGATCGTTTTGGCTACTATCTCGCCACATGCGAAGGTAAGTTGGCGCCCAACACCGCCATTTCTTACTTTAGAAACGTGAAGCTTTGGTTTTTCGATGAGTATCCTCATCTTAGAGTACCAACCGAGTTAATTTTGCTTAAACTAGGAAATACTCTCGAAAAACACTGCTTAAAACGTGATAATGGAGGGCTTACTAACAAGGCGCCACCTTGTACAAAGGCGGATTTGCGCTCACTAATTTGCTATGTGTACAAAACAGCATCCGTCGCCTCGGATTCAAAAGATGCAGCGCTTGCGTGCCTTATGTGGCATTGCTTCGGCCGTTCACCAGATCTCGGCTACGTCACAAAGCAGCACATTACAACGTCAGCTGACAATGTTTTCTACATTCGGATGCTACGAATGAAAACAGCTGAGGAGCAAGGCCTCACGCTCGTACCTGATCGGGCGGATTTTGTGACGTGCCCGCTGCACACGCTCGCAGTAGCCTTGGTGATGCAGGAGTCGCCTTGTGTGTCCCTGCTAAGCCAGCTTCCTTCTCTTGTGACACCGTCTGCACCCTCACTTGATGCAGCAGCACCCCTTCTCGATGTAGTACGAGTACCTTCGGTCAATGCTGCCACCTCTTCGCAGCTTCTTGCAGCAGCGATGACTGACCCGGCGGCTGCCACTCTGCGAAGCGTCCTGAGCTCCGCTGCAGCCAACCCTTCAGCGACCAACCAAGCTCGCGGTGACGACGGGGTTCAAGCGTATGTGAACCGGTTCCTGAAGGGTGTCGGAGCCGGCAGGAGCCTCAGCCAACTTGACCTCGCAATCCTTCAGGCGGGGCGGGGCGCAGCATGCAAACGGGGACGAGCGGCTGCCTGCACAGTGGATCTTTGATCGTGGGTCATGGGACATGACGCGCACCAACAAAGGATTCGCCTACGTATTCAACACGCCACGCGAGGACCGTAAAGTAGCACTGGTCTTGAGCGGGTGGGCTGCGGACGAGGCACCGATGATTCTTGATGTTGCCATTCTCGACCATGGGGCACAGGAGCGCATGACCCGGTTGCAGGAGTTGCTGTTCGCTTCCTGTGTAGGGCTGAAGAACAACTAGCTAAACGTGAGTCGCAAGGTAATTGGGGTCCTTACCGCCTATCTAATTAGGCATTTCTCGGAAGTGAAGACTCTCGAACCCAGGAGCTTGTTCGTTGTTCTAGTGGAAGAATGCTTGGAAGCAGCTGACATCTCCCACACCGACTTGCTGGCGTGGTCGGTCGCGCTGAGCCGTGTCGCCTCCAAACCTGCTCAACAAAGGAAGGACACTGAAAAGAACGGCTGCAATCGAACGGAGTGTTATCACGCTGCTGTCATTAATGAGCTTATCGAAAGCAATAGGCTGTTGTCTGCACGCCTGCTGGTGCTAGAGGCTGCCATCCTTAAGCGACCTGCGCACGAAGAGCCAGCCCAAACTACAGAACAGGAGCCAGTTTCGTCAGCTCAAACACCTGAAGCGAAACGCAGAAAGAAAGCAACTACCAACCTGTCATCGATCTGGTTCGAGTGGTACACACGGCAGCCTCGCGTATGGAGCTTTAACGACCGACAAAAGAAGTCAGATTACCGCTTGATCGTCGCGTACATGAAGCTTTTTCTGGAGGGCGGGTTCTAGCTTCACGAGAGATCAGAGGACTACAAGGATCGCGCTCTCGAGGTCGGCCAACGTGCAGAATCGGCGGTCCTCGGCTTCCTGAGTGGACAAGGGATCCGAGCAAAGGGCAGCGGTAGCGTACTGCGTGAGATGCGCAAACTTCATCGCTTAGGAGCCCTCGACGGCCGTATCATGACGTACCGTACACGCCTCACCTCAAACAAAATTGCTGATCCTGCGCCTACATCAACCCAAGACATACTTCAATTCGTAGGACATGTGTAAGAGAAGTGAGTAGATGTTAATGAATTGCAACGCTTCGCAAACATCATAAGCCGACAGCAGGGAATTGGACCCCCCACTCATTACCATCCGAGCGCTGCACCAGCAGTGCCGGCGGGATTTGTGTGCGCAATGGCATACTGTGCTCTGGACTGGTCCTTTGCTACGCGAGATCTGCTGGGGTGGCTCTGGAAAAAGAAGGCTGAGACCACAAGGCCCCTGTCGGTAATTTGTGGCGCTGCATGATTGGCTAAGTAAAATATCTAGGCAAGGTTTAATAAGTGACGTTGTTTTATTGGCTGAGCAAAAAACCTGAATGAGGTTAATCAAAATGACTGACCTACGACAATGATGACACTATTTTTGGCTTTAGTTTCATTGTTTTAAAGTAACCTCTGATAGTGGCCCCTCACCCTGGCTTCGGGTCTCATTCATGAATTTGCTGGCTGGTGAGCACAGTGCTGTGAAGCCTATAATGCCCTTAAACAAAAAAAAGATTTGTCTCGGCCTACAGGCCTCTTTAGAGCTTCCTTGCGCCTTCGAACTCCCTTTCCAAAGCTGACTGGGATGGTCGTACTTATAAAAGCGACCGTACTTAGTGTAAGCGTACTTAATCTGAGTACACCGTCATGATCTGATTGGCGGTTCCGAACTGTCGAAAACATGTCGGAAAGGGGTAGGGTGTTGGAACGGTTGCGATATGGTATAATGTCCACTTTATTCCAACCGTTACCTGTATATGCAGCCACATACTAACACCATTTTCCGTGTTTCAACCAATCCTCGTTAACACAACGCTTATTTTACACCAATGGAAGAGGCATCTGGATAGGAGCAGGTTTCCAACCATTCTGACCATATTTAGTTGGAATCTTTGAATAATATTGTCTATCGGATACTGACTTTCATATAAAGTCATATTCTAAGAATATCCTGAAGTTTCTGACGGTAACCAGCGGGTTTCTGTACAGAATAAAATTGCGGCGTATCAGTCATGTCGATAGCATCCTTGGCCCCTGGTAACAGCAAGAAGGCGCGAACGACAGCGTTGAGCTCCTTCATCACGTTTCTGGGTGCCGAAAGCATGACACTTTCAGCCGCGCACAAGCTCATCGATGCTGATAAGACGGGTAAAGTGCTTCGTATTATGCTAGACAAGTATGCATATTCACTAGCAAGGTCTCAGGACAAAATTTAGCTACGAATACATGTCTTGCATATTATGGAAACGTAAAAATATTGGTTGGCAGATAAATACCCGCTACAGAGCAAAGCCCCAGCTACAAAAGATTTTATCGGGACTCGGAAGGTACTGCACAAATCGAGAAGAAAGTGGTAACGAACGAGTTGCTCCCTTGTGCTCAAAGCAAGATTTAGAAGCAATTGTGCGAATACTATACACAACGACATCAAATGAGAGCGAATATCTTGATTCCGCTCTCGTTGTTATGATGTGGTACTTGTACGGTCGTAGTTCGGACGCAGAACAAGTCGAGAAACAGCAACTGTCTATCCTCCCGGGTACGCATTAATTGGTCTGACAAACAATTTCACGCTCTAACAAAATTTAATAATGTAGGCGGTGTTTTATTCCTTCGCTTTAAGCGCGTTAAAACAGCAGTACTCCAGGGCATGTCCTTGTTCAAAGATCCCAACAATTTTCTAACATGCCCTCTCAACGCTATAGCCGTAGCGCTAATGATGCAGAGCTCTCCATGCAAACGAATGTTTCCTCAGTAATTTAAAAAGAAGCGAAGCTCCACGAGCGATCAAGATCTGGAGGAATTGTCCCTCGTAGAGCTTCTAGAGACAGAAGACGACCACACTTCTATACCAGAATCTTCGAACTCAGCAGCCGCGTCACTGCCTGGAGCCCAAGCCTACGTTAACAGGCTGCTGGTCAGGGCTAGAGACAATGCCAAGCTTCATAATGTCCGGCTCACCCCTGGCCTCACCTCTCACTCGTTTCGCCGCGGTGGGGCTATGCACGCAAATGACGGGACGTTGCCGAAAATTGGATCATCAAACGTGGAGGCTGGCAGCTCGACCGTGTGAACAAAGCGTTTGGCTATATGCTTGGGACGACATAAGCGGATCAGCAGGTATCTCGAGTCTTGAGCGGGTAAAGACCTAAGGATGGGGCTCGTTTGCCTTCACTTGCAGCACTTGACACACCGGTCCTTTGTCGGGCACTCAAACTCCAGGCGCTGATATTCTCGAACACGCTGGGTTTGGCTGACGAAGCCCTCAACCTTGACGAAGACGTAGCCGAAGTCCTCCGTCATACACTTATCTTGCACTACCCTGATATGCTGCGCCTCGGTGAACACAGTCCATACGTCACGAGGATGCGAGAGGCAATGACTGCTCGCTCCGTCACTGAATCCGAGCTGCTAGCGTGGAGTATCACCGTCCGCCGTGCCTTCATACCACCTCTTGAGCCAAAACCGGCACCACCTGATAGAGAAGATCGTCTTAATTCACTGTTGGAACTGGTTCAGCACCAAACCAAGCAGATCGACGTGCTCATTCTGCAAAACAAGCATCTGGAACAACGCTTGGTAGCAGTGGAAGGCCAGCTTCGCTCGACAGCCAGCACGACAACGCAAGCAGCAACCACGATCGACCCATCTTCCGCAACAACACCTCCACAACCACCACAGCCTAGAGTCAAAGCAGCTCGATCGAAAAAGAAGGGAGCACAGTCGCTGGCAGCCACGTGGTTCGCTTGGTTTACGGCGGAGCCTCGTGTATATGCCGCGCGATCTGTAAAAAAGGCAACGCTGTACGCACCGCAGGGTACATGATGCTTTTCTTACCGACTGGATTCGCACCAGATGCAGCGTCTCCAGCGTTTAAGAGCGAGGTGCTGGCCCTGGGTGAGAAGGCGCAAGAAAATGCGCTAGCATTCTTGAAAGAAAAGGGTCCTCAGCAGCTGCATCGGTACGGCGCTGAAAGCTTTCGTAAGCTCATAAGGCCGGGAAGCTCGACGCGCATCTAGCCCAGTTCTATGACCGTGTTGAGCGCGGTGACGTGGCTGACCCTACTCCAACTGCTGCCTTACCAGAATTTATTCGCTTGAAGCGCCTTGGCTGTTAGTCTGTCGAATAAAAACAAATAATATGACCCACAACTACGGACTACACAGCACCGATAGTAAACATCCGATAGACTTGAATTCATTTTGCGCACTAAAACATTCACAATATATTACAGCATAGCTACAGGAACAAGTTAGATGACACATACCGGCTCAAGTAATGATCTAGAACACACTTACCATATCTACGAGTAGTATAGAGCCCGAGGGAAACCGCAAGTACCACCGCTCTGTGATTATACACCTCCGGCAGCATACCGCCCGCCCTACCGGGTCATTTTACATCCCAGCAGCGGGCTTGGGAAGCGGCAAGAGTGGGAGCGGCAGGCGGCGTGTCTTGGTCAGCCGTTCGGTGCGCTCGGGGGGTTGAAGGAGGGCTTGTCGCCGCAGTACAGCCGGCGTTCCGCGCGCCATCTTCTGTGCCGTCGTGGTGGCGATTGTGTTTGGAGAATGCCTGTGTGGCCTGAGAGAGCAGGGATTTTTTATTTTGAATCACGGCTAAGTTCGATTTTATTCCAGACGTTTATACCGGAACCGGTTGGAACCCCGGTCGGACGGTTGAAATTTTAACGGTATGGACACTGGCCAGACGAGTGATCAAACACGTACAGTACATGTACTTGAGTGTCTCGTTTCTGTGAGGTATCATTAGTGCAGAAACGCAACGGATAACTAGTTTCAGTACAGTGTTGCTGACTGAACAACCCAGCAGCTCACTGTGCAATTTGCTAAGGAAGCCACACTTCGATCACGGGAGGTGCGATCCGCCGTTAAGCAAATCACGACCCGAGTGCCTCAGAAAGCACCCTTGAATTCAGCCTATTATACCACCGCCTTAACCATGAGTGGAGTCCATGACCACGTTGTGGCCACTGCCAAGCCCAAGGAGGTGGCCCCATTCCTAAAGAGTCTGCGGCAGATCCTGGACTCTGAAAACACTGCCATTATACGCTGGACGCCCGATGGTAAGGCATTCGAGATCCACGACATGAACACCATGATGCACCTCGTACTACCCAGATACTTCAAGCACAGCAAGTACACGAGCTTCCAGCGCCAGCTCAACTATTTTAATTTCCGCAAATGGACCAAGTCCAAGGCCGTCGTCTGCACCTTCTCGAATCCATTTTTCCAGCGTGGCCAACCAGCGCTCGTTTGGTGTATCACACGTAAGAAGTCGCTCCACTCGGATGATAAAGGCCCCAGGAGCGGCAGTGTAAAGTCTCTCAAGGCCAAGAAGCTATCTCGTTCGCCCAAGGCCATCGTCATCAAGCTACTGCGGAGCAAAAGTGGCAATCAGACCTCGCTCCCATCCCCTACTGACGCAAACACGCTCGAAATGTGCAACGTGTTCGGTACGGTATCGGACATCACCTTCCATGACTCGTTGGGGTCATCGCTAGACGCAAACTATTCACTCGATTGGGTCGACACGCTGTACTCATCACTGGAGCCGCAGGTGGACAACGCCGCGCATCCGTCGTTCCTCGATCATGCGTTCGACTACACCGAGTTGTGACGCAGCTGCGGCAAGTGTTTTTGCCAAGTGAGTGGCCAAAACAACGACAGTTTTGAGAGCATCTGCAAGGTTATTTTATTGTGAAACGAACAAGGATATGTGTAGGTTAATGTAGTTGTATGTGATGCTAAAAGCTTGCACAACGCCTTCGGGTTTGTGGCTGGGTCTGAACAAAGTGCTTCTTTGATCCATGCATATGTAGTACTAGCACTAGTACGCATTACGTACTAGTGCTACTATTACTTCTTCTACTATTACTACTACTATTACACCTTTGCCAGGTCAAGATGGTGCTACTCCACTTCAAAGTGGTGAAGTAACCAAAACGTTATAAAATTTATTTTTAACTTTTACATTAGAATTTATGTCACTTCACAAATTTGTTGAGTAAACGCACTCCGTACTTCAAAGTGGTTTATTCGCAGTTCAAAGCGGATCAACCCACGTGCCCGCGAGCACTTCATTGCCACTCCTCGCTCTCACTTTTCAATCTTCTCCCAAGCCCCAAGCCTCTTCCTACTCCAAGATGCCCGGAGCCCCGCACCCTTCATTTGCCAGAGCACGTGTCCTCGACAGCCACCGCGCGGGCGGAGACTGGATGCTTGTGGCCGCCCACAACGGCATCCCCGCCACCACAGCACGTCGAATTGTGGAAGTAGGACGGGCGGAGCTGCTCCCGCGCGGAGGAGCCCGTCCGTCCAACTTCAAATGCACTCCGGAGATCGAGGCGGCACTCGAGGAGTACCTCGAAGAAAATTGCACCTACACTCTCAGTGCAATGAGAGACATGGTGCAATTCGACTTCGGCGTGGACCTAAGCACCTCGACAATCAGCAACAAGCTGATTGGCAAGTTGTACACCACCAAACAGGTATGTTACAATGGTAAAATATATATTATGTTTATTTTAAATAATATTTTTATTTTAATGAAACAGGTCCGCGTGGAGCCGATGACTTGCAACAGCGAAGTCAACAAAAAAAGCGAATGGAGTTTGCCAAAGAGCTGCGCGAGCACATGAGTGCAGGAAACCTCATCGTATATTACGATGAGACAAATTATAACTTGTATTGTAAACGTAGCCAAGGGCGTGCCAGAAGGGGCGAGCGGGCGACGATCGTCTTACCGCCATCCAGGGGCGCCAACCTGCAAGTACAGTGCGCCGTTTCAACGGATTTAGGGCTGGTGCATTATAAGTTACAAAGGGGCAGCATCCGCATGGATGTTAACGCTGCTTTTGTTGAGGAAATCTACAATAAAGTCAAGTCCTCGCCAATCTTTCAAGAGCACTTCCAGGGCAAGAAAATCGTTGTCGTTCTCGACAACGCCCCTGCCCATAACCAAACGGAAGAACGCGTCGCTGAACGAGCCGACTTCGTACTTCTACGGCTGGCTCCATACTCTCCAATGTGTAATCCCATTGAAGGTACGCAGTATACTGTATTACAATATATTTTTAAAAGGCCAGCTAATCGACTTTTGAGCTGGTACTACAGGGTGTTTCAGCGTTCTTAAGGCCAAGATCAAGGCCGACCTTGCCTTGTCCCGTGAAGAGCTGGTTGCGGAGCGTCCTCGTGGGACGGTTGCGGCTGCTCGGATGGAGATACTGGAGCGCGCGGCGAGGCGCGGCATCGGCTGTATCGACTTGCGCCTTGTTAGCAGGATGGCACTGCATTGCCAGCATGCCGTTGCTGCCGCGGAGCGCATGGAGGACATGCAGTACGGCACCTAGCTGCAGTTCAACCTGAGAGAACCACTTTGCTCTGCGTTTTCACCACTTTGAATTTCCTTTTTAGTGTTACTTTTTTCTAATCAAATTTTTGTTTTCATATTTTTAAAAATATCCGTTTTGAAGTGGAGTAGCACCATCTTGACCTGGCAAAGGTGTAGTACTCCGGAATGCATAAATTAGTGCTATAACGTAGTAAATTTTACTACAATACAGTACTGTATTGTACCATTGGTAGAATGCAAATACAGTAGCAGTGTAAAATTTGCTCCGTAAATACTATTCGTCCATTAGCACTCCATGCACCGTGCATTGCACGGGCGTTGATTCCGACCGCAAAAATACCTTGAGCTATCCTGACGACAATCCTGCGGTCGGTGTTCCCTCCCTTCGTTTTCTGATACATGTATACGTGCGTCAAGCACTGTCCGCAGCGAACAGTGCGTTCGCTTGCTCGACGTTCGGATGCCATCCCAGCCTAGATCCCTGTCGGTGTGCATCCCACCGGGATGCACACCAGAGTTTTGAAGTGCTAAAAGTATTAGGTGGAAGTGTGCTACCGCACGACTCAGGCAAATGTACTGTATTTATAGACAGCTGACTCACTCTAGGGCCCTCGACTGAGTGCCATCCTTGCTTGTACATGTAAAACATGAACATCGTTTTGCAAATTCGCAATCAGGCTGAGCAGTACTGCTCAGAGATTTAAATGTATTAAGTACATGTATTCTGTGCGTGATGGCAGGTTTGAGGCAGATTTTTGCCGTGGTTTACCAGATTCGATCGATCATGTCTGTAGCTTCAGCAGTGCTGAATGATTCAGTGAATCAGCACAGTCCACCTTCCCACTCTGCGGCGATACAGTTCATGTGCGGCTCATGTGCGGCTTGTCTAACAAACGAGACGAGGCAGAATGTACCGTACCATGTACTGGTATCAAACAAACATGTACACCGTTCCCTCTAATTAGTCATACCATGACTAATTCTGGTGTTTTGGCTGGAGCACAGATTTTTGGATAACCGTTTACCATTAATGAGCCTTCTAAAATATCCCAGATTTGTGGCGTCACTAGAGCCCGAATGCACGATTAATTTCGAAGCACAGTGTAACTTCATGAGTGCCACCAATGGAGTCCATTATGGAGCCTGCAGTGGAGTTCTGAAATGTAAGCATGAATGCATCACCCACAACCGGCTGCACCACAACGTGCGAGGCCTATCCATCCCGGCGCTGCCTGGATTTAGAGGACGAGAACGATGTGTCGCGCAGTCAGATCTAATATGAAGACGACCGCCACCTCATGATGGCGTTAGTACCGCTACTGCCTTATGTTACTACTGTAGTACATAATATGTTGGACAGAGCATTTAAAAAATGACACGTCAAGAAAGAAGCATCTTTATTGTTGATATATGGAATCTCAGCTAGAGACGTCCGGGTACTGTGGCGACAAGGAACTAAAATCCATGTCGATGAGTGAGTCTGTAGTCTAAACGAATGTGTATGGAGTCTGCCCTCGCTGCGGTTAAATAAGCGTTCGAACTGCGGGGATTCTTAGAGCGAGAGCAGCTTCGAAGGGGAGTTGAAACAGTCCGTGGCGGTCGAGTCGTTGTCCTCGAGCAGATCCAGGTCCAGCTCCGGGTATAGTACGTCGATCCAGGCCAACGATGCGTCCTCGTCGAACAACTGGAGCTGCTGCTTCGGCAGCGTCGTCTGCACTGTCACCATGGGATCGATCTGTTTATCGAACTGCATATCTGGAGTGGACAGTGCGCGCGTCTCCTGCTGCTTTTGCGGTGTATCTGCGCTATCGGTACTCTTAGCCGGCGACAGCGAGCGCTTGCGTGTGATGCGCCACGTCAAGGCTGGTAGGTCGCGTTGGAAGAACTGGTTGGAAAATGTGCACACGACGGCACGCGACTTGGTCCACTTGCGGAAGTGAAAGTAATTTAGCTGCCGCTGAAAGCTAGCGTACTTGCGGTGCTTAAAATACTTGGGTAGCACGTAGTCGGTCATGGCGGCCATGTCGTGAATCTCGAACGCGTGACCATCGGGTGTCCAACGTAAGATGCGTGAGCTCTCGTTGTCTAGCATGATGCGCAAGCTCTTGAGGAACGGCGCCACCTCCTTCACGGGTGTGCCGTCCGCGGGGTCCTGCTCCCAAAGGTGCGAGGGTGGCATGGTTGGGGAGACAAACTCTGACGTGGGACGTAGTAAGGCAAGCAGGCTAATAGCTGCACTACTGTACTGACAAAATTGAGTCAGTGTGGCTCCGTGAAAGTGAAAGTGAACAGAGCGCTCGGCTCCGGGTATCCGGTTGATGTGCGTCTCCCAGCCTGAGGAGCGCGCCGCGACAAGATCGACTGACGTGATGGTGTGGGTGGACCCGCTCGCTGCCCGCTAGCCACCCAAGCGGCTTGGGTCCAAGCCACGATTACGGCTGCACCCGGAAGCATCTGTGAAGCAGTGGTCGTCTCTCTTCGACAGCGGCACGATGGGCTAGCTGTGCCAAGCTAGTCTACACCATTTCCAGCTCAAGCTGAAAGTTTCTCAAAGCAAGATGAAAAACATGTAAGCAATAGCTCAATTACGTTTTGGTTGTATCGATACTGCCATTTGTCAAACTTACTAAGACACTACTTGCTTCTGAAGCAGCTTCTCCAGCAGATTATGCTGGAGAAGCGGTCCAGGCGTCTCGCACGGCGTCTCGCACGGCGTCGAATTCCGCCCGCATCGACACCAATGAGGCATTGTGGTGCCTGCTGGAGAGGGATCAAGTGAGCTGCCACCACGAGCAATACATGATGTCTGCTTCGGGCGAGGCAGTATGATATTGTGGACCATCCCTATGACTTAAAGTCCGGATCCCTCGCTGAGGGCCTCAGGGCTCCCGACGGGAGGGACCCTCGTGAGTCACGAATCGTGACGATTCGGTTGCGACGCGCTATTAGTCTTGTTTTTGGCGCCACCATGCTTGAGACCTCGTCGAAGTTGGAGTCCAACATATTGACACCCAATGTGAGTCCCAAGCATCACGCATTGCGTTAGTGTCAGTGAGACCCAGAGGGGCATCGACACCGCAGCCTGCGGTCCGCTGGGCGGGAATTGTCTGGCGTCACACAAGTTGCGTGGCAAGTTGCCAGTGGCAAATTGCCGGCAATCACGCTAACGCGGTACAGAGACCGGTGTCGCCGACGTCGGGTGTTCTCGGTGTGGAGTTCAGCTCCAAATCTCGAGCTTGGAGAGAATCTCTCCGAGATCATGCACTTGCGCGCGGGAGGGCAAAAAGTGAGCTGCCTATGCTTCACGTATACACTACGCGCACACAGGGTACTGTACATGAAAGACATGAATAGTGATCGCAACCTGGAATTTCCAAGTGGTCGCTCGGAGATCTATCGGATACAGGCTGTAAGTTATTAATACCACATGCTTCGGAAATGATCAACTCCAGATGGAGTTACAGCCTGAAAATGATCAACTCCAGATGGAGTTACCGCCTGTAGCTCCATCTGGAGTTGATCATTTCTAAAGCATGTGGCGTATCGTGAACATGAGCAAAGCTGAAGTCCAGGATGTACAGTGCATGTAGGGCCGGGTAAACGCACCATATGATGAACGCATGGACCCGAATGCAGATTCACTTTGCCCGAATGCAGACTCACTTTTCGCTTACAATTAGATAGTCTGGCAGCTTAGTCTACTAAAAGGAGGAGCTAGACGTTAGCTACAGAGGTAGGATATTTGCTTATTTCTAAGTGTTTATAACGCTTCGTGAAAATTGCACGAAGGAATCCTTTGAAAGTTGCATTTTAAGTTTTTATCTTACGTTTAGTATGCGTGACATCGGGGAATTCGTCGTTCATTCTGCAGGAAAAAGTCTATGATCAGTGTTACACTGCGCGCCAGGTTATTATGACCACCTACGTTTTGATCTGTAACTCAGTCAGTTTTACGAGTTAGCCGATGCTGTTTAGATATCCTATTTCTATCGCCAAACGCAGCATAAGACTTAATTTAACGCGTGGGATATCGCAGTTTAGAGATGGGCTAGTATACAAGCGACCGTTTTTGTCGTTGCGACCATTATTATGACCACTTGTACCCATACAAAAAAACAAGTAAGAAAGAATGATGGTCAACATGGCTACATTGGTAGTGTGTCTTGTTATCGTGCTTCTTGATGACCTCCCTGCACCTGCGCGGCATGGACTCTATCAAAGAGGCTAAGAGGGCTTCTTCGATCGAGTCCCATGCTTCGTATAGAGCTGCAGTTAACTCAGCAACAGTGAAATACTGTTTACCGTTGGCGTATACACGTCTTGTCATGATTGACCACAGGTTTTCAATGGGATTAAGATCTGGCGACCTAGCAGGCCAGTCAAGAACGTGCATATCTTGCTCGTTAAAGAACTCTTTAGTCCTCTTAGACCGGTGAATGGATGCACCGGCTTGCTGGTAGACAAAGTCAGTGCCGTAGTGCAGGTGGGCAAACGGAAGCAGATACTCGGTGTGACGGGGTGACACAGCACCTTGCGCTAGAGGAAGTTATCTTCCGAGAGTATACAAACTCTCAGTGAACGGCAGCTCACAGGTCCCCTCTTTCATTAAAGAGAGCGAAGTGACCTAAATAAGTTAGATTGTAAACTGAGTATATGTATAGGTACGTTAAGTTTGGGTTTAATACAAACTATTAGTTACCTATAGAAATGCAATGTCATTTAACCAATGGTTGGCTTTGAACGACCTTGGTACCTTGTACCAAATATCCCGGAGTATGACGTGTCATACTCCTGAAGTGTGAAGTGTCACACTTCATGTAGCCAGGGTACACTTAGGGCTACGTATTCCGTTACATCCTCCCCCACTTAGGTTCGGTTTACCGACCAATCAGAATGAAGAGGCGTTCGTCACAAACTCTCATTCTCAAAGTCGAAAACCATCGACTTGGCCGCGCGAGCGCGGCGGAGGCTCACTTCACAGTTAGAGCCTCAAGCAGCAACCTGTGCGCTCTTCGTCTAGGTCCCCACTTCGACCGTTATCATGCCTCGTGGCACTGCAAAGAGCGGTGCTAAGACACGCTCCAAGGCTGCTGCCGGTAAGGCGCAAGCCAAGAGCACTAAGCCTCACGGCAAAGGCTCTGCACTCAAGGAGGCTACTCAGGTGGCCTCCGAGGCGATCGGTTCCTCGGGTGACGCGACTGTGGACAAGCGCGCAAGCAAGCGCCGCAGTCCGTCGCCCTCGTCTTCAGATAATCGTCCGAGCCCTCGGTTCGTAGAACGTGAGTTCAACTCGGGCAGTGAAGACGATGCCGAGTCCGAGAGCACTCATGATGCTCCTGCGGGCTCTGTGGGAGGGCACAGCCCAGTGCCCAGTGAGCACAAAGATGACAGCATGCAGTCGCCCGCTAGTGATCACGGTGATCACAGTCCCAGGACCTCTGTGCGCTCTGAAAGTCCGGCCGTCAAGGCTAAGGGCGCTCCCAAAGCCGGTGGCGATGAGGAGGAGAATCCTCGCAAACGTCTCTCGCTTGCCGAGGGTCTTGCGCGCGCTAAGGCCTCTAAAGCCGAAGGCGCCAAGCCCTCAAAGAAGCGCACAACCTCTAAGTCTCCACTCCGCGAGGAGAAGGAGACTCGGCACTCCCATCGGGGCATCTTTGACTCCTCGGATGAAGAGGAGGAGAAGGAGGAAGAAGAGGAGGAGGGTGCTATCGCTGAGCCCCGGGAAGTCTCGAATGACCTCGACCAGCAGCAGGAGGAATTCCGAGCTGCCCAGCGTGTGCGTGGGGGTTCGGTGGTGGCACCCGTCAGCCAGGGAGCTGCCATCAACTCAAGAGGGTATTGGCCTCCCGAGGAGAGCTCTGGGGCTGACCTCTTCTTAGAGCTTCTCGTCGCTCCTCGTGGTCTTGTGGGCGGCCACATTTCTAGGGGCATCTATGAACGTGCCCTTGTTCAGAAAGAACAGTTGTTCGTTGACAACTTGGAGGCTGCTCGGTGTGTGCTTCTCGCGCCACACCGCATTCCCCTTAAGGACTTTACGACTTGTCGTAAGAAGCCCGAGACCCGGGGTGACCTCTATCCTCTTTGGGGATATGCCCGAGAGCTGTCCCACGTGGAGTTCTTGTGAGGACATGTTCTGGGCATGGGTGGAGTCTCTTAAGTACTCCCCCACGGAGTTACGGGAACTCCATGAAGATCAGCTGCTGTCCCGCATCCTGGACCAGCGTGATCTCCGTGTGAGGTTTGCCCACTTGATCAGCAAGCGCATGCTGCCAAGGGACATCCTGAAGCGCGCGGCTTCTAGCGCTCACGATGAGCGCGGGTACGGAATGTATTCATCGTCCGTACCCCGTTCGGTCAAAAAGCCCCGGACTACTTATGAAGCTGCCGCCTCTTCTGTTCCCAGATTGCGACAGCCTTCGGGCAGTCAATCAGGAGCCGTTCAATCGGCTCCCACGACTTCTCAGAGTGGGCATAACCCCTCCACTTCACGAGGAGCTGTCGCTTACCGCGACGCCGTTGCTCCTGAAGGATCCGCTCCACGTGGAAGTGGACCTCTCCATTCCGGTCAAGCAGGGGCGGAGGTGCCCTCGTACGAGTACGAGTACTCGGCGCCTTCCGAAAGCCACTCTCGTCCGAGTGCTCCGTCCGACACAGGGCCCTGAAGGTTGACCGCCTCCGTCAACGTGTCATCGTGCTTGAGATTGCACTTGGCCTTGGGACTGGCGGTAATGCTGCCGCCCAGGCCGGGAATCAGGGCGAGCTCGCTCGTCTTGCGGGTCGCCTGGACCTGGTGGAGCGAGAGGTCGCGAGCCTGCACCTGCGGGTGGATCGCCGGGCCTCTTCGTCCGATCTGGACGAGGCCTTTCGAATGATCCGACGGATCGAGGCTTTGTTGCCACGTCCGGAGCCGCCTGCGGCACACTCCCAGACGTACGCGTATGGTGCGTACCCGGCGTACTCAGCGTACTCGGCGTATGGCGCCGGGATCCGTTCGTATGGAGCCCCTCCGGCGTACGGTCTTGACCGCAGCCTTGCCGTCCCGACCGAGGCTTGGGTGCCTGCTCCGACGCCCTCGTCGACGACTGTGACCGGCCCTCGCTTCGAGGAGCTGGGTCAAGGGGGGACTGCGAGTCAGCAACCCCCTGCGGGTCAAAGTACCGCTTAAGACGTCCGACATAG